TGTGTGTGTGTGTGTGTGTGTGTGTGTGTGTGTGTGTGGTTTGAGGATGTGGGCAGGAAACCGCAGGTGCTTTGAGCTCCAGCATCTGAATGGAGAGTCGTGTGGTTCAGCGCTTCAGAATATTTCACCTTCATCACTTTAGCCATCAGATGAGATCAGATGATCTGGACTCGTTCAGTGTTTTGTCATCTGTGTGTGTGTGTGTGATCTGTTTAGCTCAGCGGTTTACACTCACAGCAGGTTCACATGATGGTTTGCTGTGTGAATGTGCTCATCATCAGACTTAAGGAATAAAAGCCTTGAGGTTCGTGTTATATACTCACAGCTAGATACGAGTCACAACACATAGTGGAGTGATTATTACATAATGTTAAAGGCACAAATAGTGTAAAAAAAGTGTCAAAACAGAGCAAAAGCAGTGCTTCCCTAAGAAATATATTTATTTTAAAGAAATAAACATCCTCTGAACAATTGAGTAAGGTCTAATAGATGACTTCAGATGATCAGGTGATGTCGTATGCTTGTTTTGTAATTTTTATGGATTAAATAAACATCTATTTATGTCTATTTTGGGATAAGTCAGTGAACGAAATACTGCAAAAACAGCATCAAAGTTTAAAACATAATACTACTAAATTACGTTATTAAAATTATATGAAATAATATTTAAACTCTGTTTAAGAATTTCTATGATAACATACATAATATTATTATTATTATTGTTTGCTATTAAATTTACCATAAAATTATATTACTGCTAGGGATGCACCGATATGAAAATTTTGGCCGATACCGATAAACTGCATATTTAATATTATTTTTATTATAATGTATTTCATATTATTAAATATTATTTTATTGCTATAATAGTTAATACTGATAATAAACTATTTATATAATTATATTTAAGAATATAATGTTATTTAATGACTAAAGTATCCTAAACCATATAAAAAAAATTTAAAAGGATGTGTAATTATTCAATTGAACATTGAATTATTGAATATCCAATATAATTATTTTGAATAATAAATATTATTATTAAATATATATACTAAAGACAATTTTCTACCCCATTGGGGATTGACAATAAAGCTTTTGAATTGAATTGAAATTATTTAATAATGAACCCTAACCCCATTAGATAATATAATATAATTTAATATTATTATATAATAAATAATTATTAAAATAAAATATTATTATTAAATATTATTTAATGGTGAATGCTAACCCCATTAGATAATGTAATTCAATATTATTATTATTATAATAACAAATAAAGAAATAATTTTAAAATAATAAACTATTTCTATAATTATATTGAATAATATTATTGAATATTCTAGCCATTATTTATAATGACTAAAGTTTCCTAAATTGTATAAAATATGAACTTAAAGCGTGTGTGTTACTGTAATGTAACGGTGTGCTGTGTGTTGTTGTGCAGGCTGAGGATGTGAACAGGACTCTGGAAGGAGGCCGCAAGCCGCTTCATTACGCTGCAGACAGCGGGCAGGCCGAGATGCTGGAGTTTCTGCTGTCTAAAGGAGCCGATGTGAACGTAACTGTCCTCCTGCTGTTATTCTCCAGCTGTGTGTGTGTGTGTCTGTCTGTCTGTCTGTCTGTGTGTCAGTGTGTGTGTGGGCGTTTGTGTCTGTGTGTGTTTGTGTCTGTGTGTGTGTGTGTGTGTGTGCGTCTGTCTGTGTGTGGGTGTTTGTGTCTGTGTGTGTGTGTGTGTGTCTGTGAGTGAGT